TTTTTTTTTTTTTTTTTTTTTTTTTCCCCTAATAAACCCTTGATAACATTTGAGGGCAGGAGGCAGATGCAATGCCAAACCTGAGGAAGAACCCCGTAGCAGCCTGGAAGATCACTGTCGTTCACAAGTGTCAGCATCTGCTGATAGGGGAATTTTATAAAGCACCGTCCAAACGTCATGACAGGGTTGAGCACTCGCAGTGGAGGAACTACACATCTAGGCAAAGAGATGACCAAAAGGGAATTAGAGATACTGAGAGAATATAGAATTTGTCTACTCATTCGATAGCATGAAATGGAGCATAACACATTTGTCACTGTCAAACAGACATTTAATATCCCTACAGCGATAAATCACCTTTAACTTTTTATTCACTTTTATTCAACAACCTCTTGTAAAGGAGGGGCAAACCCTGAGTCTCAGCATTGCAGAAGCTGCCAAGTGCCCAGGCAGAGCACAGTGCTCTGTCCCAGAGCTGTCTGATGGGCACCTTTTCCCCAGGAGGCTTGCAAGGACCCTCCCAATGGCCCCAGAAAGGCATGAGCTCTAGGGGAGCCTTTCCACTGAGGACCAGTGCTCACCAAGGCTCAGGGAACACTAGACTCCAGTGTCCCAGTAAAAATGACTCCCTCTCCCACACTGCTGTTGCCCTGCCTGAAAACTCAACCACTTGTCCCAGCGATGGAGGACACAAGCCACCACCTGTCTTACACAGTGGCTGATCACCCTTTCCCCATTTCTGTGGCTACCTTGGTCCTTCCCCCCCACAGGTCCCTACACTGTCTGTTCCTTTTTTTTTTTTAAACATAAAATTGCAGCCCAGGCACTGACTGGATGACTCTGCCTGGGAGAGGGAAACTACACCCCTCTTGTAATTAAACTGACACCCACTGCAGCACAACAGGATTGAATCTGGCTGCAGCAAGAACAAGTTTTGGCTTAAGTCTGAGAACATTAATGCTCAAAAGGACCAGAGGAAAGCAGAAAAACCTGAGCTCACCTTCCACATCAAGGATTTTTTCCCTTCATAAGATCTTGCCTTTATTTTTCCCTCACCAGTCCCACCATAAACTCCTTTCCCATTTGCATGAGCCTTCGTTAACTGAACCAGACACCAGCTTTCAGCAGGCTGCTCGCTGTGTCCCAAATGAACATCGCATTCTGGTCACAACCCAGTACAAATCCACCACTTGCAGGTAGAAGGAGAGGCAGCCCTTTGGAAATTTTTTACACCTAAAGCACCAAAAACCACGCCAATAATGAATATAATTACTGTTCTCTTTAGAAAAAAGCTCAGGGCCATGCCTGTCCATTGAGCAGAGGTGCTTCTCAACATGGGCTGCTTTCACAGCATTGCTGTTCTCATATCTAGCTGGGCAGAACTAGCTCATTAAGCAACACTTCTTGTTTGGGGCTGGAGCCAGCAAACCACGTGCAAGGCAGCATGCTGGTGGTGGATGCATGAGGAGAGGCAATGAGCTGCAAGGGAAGAGCTGATACCTGCCGGTGAGAAGCAATGCCAACACCTCCTTGCCAACACCATCCACGTCCACCACCAGTGCCAGTTCATATCTCTTCACAGTGTTGGAACACAGGGTGACCTGGCAGAAGAGCATCAAATACTTCATCACTCCCAAAAGCCATCATCCATGTGTGGTGTCCTCCAGTTCTTGTCCCACAGTAAGGAAAGGGAGGATTTTGCCCTAATTCTTCCACTGGTCCATGTGTAGAGCACAGTCTCTGGGAGTAATAAAAGTCTGCTGACAGTATCTGCTTTGTTAGATACACCATGCAGTTATCAATGCATATGTAAACTAAATTAAAGCACAGTTAGTCTAATGCTCTACTTAAGGGACCAATTTTTAATCTTGACTACAATAGCGTAAATCCAGAGGAAATCCGTTGACTTGAACAGAATGAGTTCAGCTTTAGAGGGGAAGCTGAAGGCAAAATGTGGCCCAGCAGATGCCATGCAGTTCATGGCTGCCAGAGCTTTTTCAGTCCCCACTGCAGATCGCTGCAGTGAATACAATTCCTCCTGCTCAACAGGAGAGGAGAAACAAGACCAGGAAGAAAAGCAATCTACTTTATACAATGACATCTCTTTTTAACAGCCACCTTCTGTCCTCATCCCTCCTCTGCCTGCTTTAAATCAAAGAATTGCTCTAAGCAGCTCTCAAAAACACACGAATGGCTTCTTTACTTGACTATATGGTACAAGACCTTCAGCTTATGCTTTTGGAAACAAAACAGTGCTCCTTCAGAAGTGTCCCAGGGTAACCCAGCCAACAAAAGCCTAACAGGATTGCATATATCTTATTCGCGTTATGCTAGCAGCACTAAAGCCCTCTCATGCATCAGTGAAGCTTCAGCTCCACCTGCTGAAGCATGTATGGCTGGACTCTTCCCATACCTGGATATCCAGGAATCCCTGGGAGCGGATGGTCCCTCTGCAGGGCGTTATGGTAAATTCGGTTGGCTCGACATGACCTTGGGCTCCCCTTCTCCAGGATGGGCAAGTGTTGCCTGATATCTGAACAAAACTGGTAACACTGGGCTCTCCCAAGCCATCCCCAGGAACACGAAGGTTGAAAGTCATGGACACCAAGGAGGTGTTAGTGAGGCGACATGACAAGGTGCGAGGAAAGCCTAGGAAAATGACACAAATATGAATTTATGCACCAATTATCCCATGATTCCTGGTGTGAATATCCTATTATGATAAAACTGTGCTTGGAGTTTAGCTCTTTTCAATCTGAATTACAGCTAATTGAGAAGCTAAGCAAGGAATTAATCGTCACTTAAGTTCCCTTTTATGCTGACCACAGAGATTGCTTCCTTGGCAATGCTCACTCTTAGCGATGCCAAACACCAGAACACCAGTTCTTCTCTCTAACTGAGGAGTTCTCTCACATGTCCCCAAACCAGCACCAACTATTTCTCACTTATGAGTGTACATCCAAACAGACCATTTATTCTGAAAATTCAATCCATAAAATTCCCTGTTAACTCTGTGAACACTCCCAGTTTTCAATATATAAAAGTAGTATATTGTCATCAAGGAGAAGCTACAGTAAAAGAAAGGATGTATGAAATTGGGTACTACAGCATGATGCAAAGCACTCTAATGCAGTTTCTCTAGGCAGGATCCTTAAGGCATCTCCTGTTTTGGGGCAACCAGACTGAGCATGTGACAATTTGCAGCCCACTTCACAGGAGGCAAGCCTGACGCTTGCTTAGAAATTAGCAGCAACAGTGTCTCACCTTACCTAACAAACTGGGATATCACACCCATGCTGCACACTGGCTTTGATTACTGCCTGCAAAGGTTCACATCACTTTAGCTTTGATACTAGCTTTCCATTATGCACCAATGATATAACCACACCTAGTGGGGATGTTCTAGAGAGACAGGACATCAGCCCACAACCTGCTCTGGAGTGGACATCTGGCTTGGCTGGCCAGCTCTGCGAGAAGGAGACATCTCCCATGGCCTGCTTACAAAGCATTATTTGACTACAGATGGGGAGGAAAACCAACTGCAGACACAGCAGGTAGTTTCTCCATGCCAATCAACAGTGACCACTGCCCATCTCCAGCAATTACTCCAGCAGGGAGGCAGGAGGTACACAAAAAGGACAAACACAGGTTTCACAATCCCAAATGAGACCGAAGTCTCCAGACACAGACAACAGTTAGCAGTGTAGCTAGAAGAAGCAAAACCACAATAGCTGCCTTCAACTGAAAAGGCCTTATTAATGAAATCGGATTACGTAGGATGAATCTCCTATTACATAACCATCTTTCTGCCTGGTGCGTTTCTTGTTGTTTTATTTATTCAAAAGGAAACAAAGAAGTGGCAGAATGGTGATGTAGGGAGGGGAGGAAGAGACTCAGGAAAGGTAATGAGTTTTCTTAAAAAGTCCACGAACAGCATGAAAACACAGAGGCATCCTGGGCACAGAATGATAATGGCCCTTCAATCAATCCACAATTGATTTCACATTTAAACTTTAGATCATCTCAGTAAAAAGCCTTTTGTGAGACAGAGATGGAGAACCAGAATCTGCATTTCAATGGAGATGCTCTGGATGCTGCTCAGCCACTGGCTCTGTCAGCAGAGCTGGGCTTTTGGTGGGGAAGGAGAAGGAACCCACGACTCTGAAGACATCAGTGCCTGATACAGAGCTATTGCTTGGGCATATTACCTGGTAGGTGATAATGAGGTGCCCTCACAGCACTAATTAACATCTCACACTAAAGGTCAGGTGGGTAAATGGTGTCCTTGCCTTGCAACAGGAACATTTACCCAGAGCAGCTACAGGCTAGTACACAGCTTATGCTCCCTTCTCCTGCAGTCCCATCCCCTGGGCCCTTCTGGGACAAGGACTTTCACAGTCATTCTGCTGCCAAGGATTGGGAGGCTGGGGCTGAACAGACTACGAGGGACACCAGAAAATACTGACTTCCTATTCCTTTGGTCCTATTTGATCTCATGATGGCAAAATACTGCCTAAGCAACCAGCAGCCCTGGTTTTAACACCCTGAAGGCTGCTATGGAGGAACACAAGTGACAGATGCTCTTATGTTAAAGTGCTCCATTTTGGTAATGCACAGATCTCTCAACCTGTGGTCCAAGCCCAGGGCACACTCACCAAAGGAGACGTCACCAAAGCGGAGGGAAGGCACATTGAAATGAAAAGTCGGTCCGACAACACAGCCCCTGTGAGGACAAAGACAGGCAGAGCAGGCATTGGCTGGGTTACAGAGAATTGCAAGGCATTCAGCTTTCGTTACTGCTTGGATAGATAAAAGCTGGTCTCAGAACTACAGTGAGTTTCAAATCAACCCGTCACCCTTGTGCTCAGCCTGGCATCCATGTGGACAGAAGACAGCCAAAGTAAAGTGGTCAGCAGCTGATAGCTGCTGATGTGGCTCTGTCAGGCAGGGTATGCCCCCAAGTTGCCGCTGGCCCGACCAAGGACCCTGAACAAGTGATATCTTTGTGCCTCAGTTTCCCCATCTGTAATGTGATGGACACAGAGGTGTCCACACAAAAGTGGACTCATTGTAACTAGCCTTTCCAGCCACAGGTTCCCTGCTTTGGTATTTCTTAGCTGGAATTGGTGTTTCCATGGAGTATATGAACATCTTTCTCAGAAGATCTTGATCCACACAATCATTATGCATGCAGGATTTTGAGGCATGAATGGAGGGGAGCCTCAAACATCTATTGAGAAAAGCAGCAACAGTTCTACACAACCGACACTTGAATCTTGAAGGAAAGTATCAGCTTGTCACCAGCGCACCAGCTGATGCATCTAAGAGCAACACACGCCTTAAACCGGCAAACATGGGTGCCCTGAACCCACCACACCATCTCACCCATCCTTAAATTCAGCAGCCAGGCTCCAAACTCCAAAGCTCACCAACATCCACCAAAATCAGCACTTGGAGCTGCACAACATTCACTAATTTGTTTTATGGTTGAAGGCCAATCAATGCCAGCTCTGCCTCTTAGTTAAAAATCAAGCACCACAGTGAATGGTGCCTTCTAGTTTTATTCACACGACTGCCACTGGGTCTGTTCTGCACAAGAACAGACTCCAGCATCCCACAGGAGGGAGCTGTGTTCATCCATGGTGTCCCATTTCCAGCATTCTCTTTCTAAATAAGGAAACAAGCATTCAGGACGTTGTAATGTTGGTTTCCAAGTCAAGAATAATCACCTATGGTTTGGGCATCTTCTGATTGCATAGTCAAAAAGCACTCAAAAACTGACTTTGAGGAGTTTCAATCCAACGCTAATTCTTGATTCTTGGAGCTGAATCAGTTCCTGAGAATAAGACAGGTAGCAAAACCCTGCTGCTGCTGAAGTTCCCTCTCCAAGGACCTCACATAATCAGACTTAACCTCCCAAGCCATAAGAGCTTACTCTGGATGGAGCAAGGGGAGCAGACACACTTTCCTCCTCACAGCACCTGCCAGGAGGATGGAAAACTACCTCCAAACCAACCACAACTGGGGATCACACTGGAAAACTGCCAAGGATGAGCCTTGCCAGGCAAGTGGGGAAATGACTGCCATTTCTGCTGAGTGCACTGTATCTGTGCTCAAGTTAAACCTGAATGACTGTCTAGAAGGCTTAGGCAAGGAGCCAACCCAGAGCTCTGTGCACCACAGCAGGTAACAGTACAGCTTGCAAGAACATGGGGGAAAAGGCAGTGTTTTTGGCAACAACTATGTTTTACAGTAGCATTAAATAATGCATTTGTGAAGGGAGATCAGGGTCCTTGCAAGAGCAGGAAGGGTAATACAAAGTGGGAGAGGAACCACTTGGACACTCATCCCTGTTCCTTCCTTTGCAGCCCAGTGTCCCACCAGCCAGCTCACCTCCATTCAAAAGAACTGGGAGTTTTTCCTCCATGGAGGACTAAATCCAGTACTCAGAACCTCCCAAAGAGCGAGGCTCAGCTTGATGTGGTGGGTGGACATCTTGAAGGAGTTTGAAAACAAACAGCTTGAGTTGCGGGGCTGGAGAATGAGAGAGAAGGGCTGGATAGGGATCCTTGAAAAAGGCAAAATCAAGGAGGCAGATGCCATCTCAGGGAGGCGTGGACTGCAATGGGAATTACTGCTGAGGGACAGCTGTATGGGAACAGGTGGGGATGCTGGGGTACCATCAGATGGGCTGCATAGGAGTCACCATCCAGGAAGGAGGAGTACAAGGATGGGGAAGAAATAAATAAAAAAGGACCAGCAATCCTCTTTCACTGAGAAATAAGATATAAGGTCTGCACTGAGCCCAGGATGGTGCTGGGAGAACAGGGCAGAGAGTGGCCACAGAGAAGGGGAGGACATGCTGGGAGCCAGGGCATCAGTGGGGAAAAAAGGACCACTTTATTTAGTTGTGGGGAAACCAAAAGACAATTATCCCATTGACAGCTGTTTTCTTCCCCAGGAGCAAGGCCATTGCAGGGCAGAGGCAGTGGGCACTATCCAAGCAATACTGTATTCTACCTGCGATAAGTGCATCTTTACAAGCAAAACCTGCCCTTGCTCAAGGAGAAAGCTGCTTATGCAATAACATCCCGCGACCAATTTGGGGAAGGGACAGAGGACAATAAATTATTTGATTGTGAAATGTTCCCTCTTGATTTCCAAAAAAAGCAGCACTTTCCCTCCAAACACAAAGCCAACATAATTGTTTCGCTACTGAGGTCAACAGACCTACTCACTGCTCTTCTCTTGCAAAGTAATAACCTTGTTCTTTTTTATCCATTTCCCTTACCTTATTGGTAAAAATCAACCACAGATTCCTTTCATTTCTTTACTACCTAATCTAGTGGCTCCTGAGGAGACACAGACAGCCCCAAAGCTCCAGAGCACCCACCATCAGCTTTCCTGCCTACACCAACTTATCCCACCAGCTCATGGTTAAGACTAGCTGGGATAAGTTCGCATGCTGCTGTGGTCCCAAGAAGTGAGCTTTGCCTCTCCTATTACTAGCTTTTTTTGTTCCCCTTCTCCTCTTTGCTCAGTGAGGATTTTCTTTTGCAATGGCACCAACCCATGGGATGATGCCCAAGTCCTGGTGACAGTACTTGCTGCAGAGCTCCCCGTTTCCCACATCAGCACTCTTCTGGCTGCAGAAAGCAGGTACCGTAGCACTCGCTGCACAAAAGCTGGGAGGACAGCTTGTCCCAACACATTAGCATGAGAGATGATGTTGAGGCTGCTGGTACCCATTTTGTATGGACTATTAACAGAGGATTTTAAAAACACTGCTTCTGGCTGCAGAATCACCCAGGCTGGCCCATCTCCAAAGCCCTGTTGGCCTTGCTGTGTGTTCAGGTGGGATGTCCCACACCATCTACTGCCCAAAGCTGACACCATCACGCTGCCTACCATGGTCCAAGGGTGAACAAGCTATCTGTAGGATGGAGTCACTCCAGCCTCTGTGTACCCAGATCGGGCACCAGGTATCTCCACACCCTTTCCTGCACAGCCTCTAGTCAAACTTTTTTCCAGCATGGGTAGTCACTTAAAGCCCCAGGGTCCTCACACAGAGATGTCAAAGGGTCACAAAAGGAACCTGCTGCTGCCAAATTCTGTGCAAACACTGTCCTGGAAAGTCAGAGCCATCCTGGCTCAACCACGAAGGCAAAGCTGCTTCCCAGAGGAACCCAAGACTTTGAAATTTAAACTGGGTATTCAGAGCATAGGAGGCATGGTCATAGGTGGCCAGCAGGTTGAGGGAGGTGAATCTGCCCCTCTGCTCTGCTCTGGTGAGATGCCATCTGGAACACTGCATCCAGCTCTGGAGCCCTCAGTACAGGAAAGACATGGACCTGTTGGAACGGGTCCAGAGGAGGGCCACAAAAATGATCCGAGGGCTGGAACACCTCTCCTATGAAGAAAGGCTGAGAGAGTTGGGGTTGTTCAGCCTGGAGAAGAGAAGGCTCTGGGGAGACCTTATTGTGGCCTACCAGTACTTGAAGAGGGCTTATAAGAGAGATGGGCACAGACTTTTTAGCAGGGCCTGTTGCAATAGGACAAGGCGTAATGGTTTTAAACTAAAAGAGGACAGATTGCCCAGAGAGGTGGAAACATTCAAGGTCAGGTTGGACAGGGCTCTGAGCAACCTGATCTAGTTGAAGATGTCCCTGCTCATTGCCGGGGGGTTGGACTAGACGACCTTTAAAGGTCCGTTCCAACCCAAACTATTCTGTGATTCTATGATTTCCTCTCACAGACAATTACACTCATTTGCTGCTGCTGCAATTGCAAGGTTCAAACTGGAGTCAAGGTTAAAAAGCCTTGGCTCTTACTGTGAGGATGCTACAATCAGAGCCAAGACTAAGACCTTAGACAACACCTTCTTCCTCTGCTCCATCATAAAATGAAGCAGGTAGGAGATGATTACCCAGAGATAGCTACAGATGTGCCCACCAAGCTCCTATAACCCTCCTCACCTGATAGTCAAGGTCACAGGCTCAGGGGATCCATTCACACTGAACCTGAATTCTTCTGTGAACTGCCCCAGGATGGTGGAACTGAAAGAGATCTGGATGACTTGGAGACAGTCTGGCAAAATGATGCCCTCCTGGGGGTGAAAGGTGAAGCAGGAGCCCAGAGCTGTAGCTGAAGGGACCAAGTTGAAGAGAGCATCAATGGCTCCTTTGTTAAACAAGATCGCCTGCAGCAGGAAGAAAGCGAAATGAAATACATAAGGAATCTTCCTTTCTTACAGAAGGCTGATTTGTTTTCTGATTAAACAATTAACATCTGTAAAAGGCAGAAGACACTGTGTGCTACTGCTTGAAGAAGCCAAAGAAAATGCAACAGGACAAGTTCTGCCTTTAGGTTTTTTCATACAAAGCAGTGATAACTTCATAGAAACAGAGTCACTCTGGGTTTATTCCACTGATACAGAGCAGTCCACTTCAACTTGCAGCGCAGAGGACCTGCTCAGCATCACCAAGTTGAGTCAGACCTGTCCCTAAAAGCAACAAAGGGCAGTTGCAGCATTACTAGTGAATCATCACACAACTGCTTCTGTTACAGATGAGTCCAGTCCTGCCAAGGGCAGAACATGTTCAGCTTCCATTGCAGCCAACAAGTTTATTGCATGTAGAACACACCTCAGGACAGTACTATAACCAACTTCAGAAGCACTCCCCAACTTGGCTACAGTATATAATTTAGGCTTCTTTTATTTTCTGTTTAACATGGTAGTTTCTTAGTCTTTGCTCAAACAGACGTGTCAGGAAAGGATGAGCGTGAGGTGCACAGCAGCCTCATCTATTTCAAAGAATTTCTCTTTCCTAAATATTCACAGCCACCGTCTCAGATTTTACCATTATTAGAATAAACTGCAAATTTAGAACCGAGCGTTTTGTTGAACACTCGAGAGATCTACTGCCTCAAACAAGTGACACAATCCTGCAGCATTTGTTGAGATTCAGCTCTTTTCACGTTGGGCGAGAAATGCCTACATCTGCCTGTGAGTACCAGCATGCTGTCAGTCACCCACAAACCTACCCAAAGCAAAGCTGTAAAGTTTCTGATTGCTGCAGTGTGAATTCTTGCCCTTTCCATGGACTTAACTATCTGCTTTGGATTTCTTTTCCCTAACTTTTGTCCTTGCAAAACCTGTCAGAAAAATGAGACAGCAGAGAGATAGGCCTTATTTTTTAATTTTGCAGCTGCTGTTGAAAATATTCACATATTCAAACTCCACAGTGATAACCTGAAAACTACTCTCTCCTCTCATGTGTTTTATACCTTAGTTACAAATTGCACTTAGGGATCCTATGCTGAGCTGAGGTTTACCACCAGTCTAGCTGCTTAGGACAGCACTAACCATATCATCTACTTATTCACATTTTCTCAAGTAACAAAAATAATAAATTGATATAAAGAGAATCAACAAAGTATCAGCATTAAAAATGCATAGAGCGCACAATATTTTGTTAAGAAAACACCTTAATGTGTCCTTCCCTGCCACAGTCAAGCTTTTGAAAGTGACTGGTATGATGTATTGTCTCATTTTCTACCTCTTTTGCTTGCTTCGTCTTATTTTTTTGCTGAAGACTTGACACCATTGGGGGGAGGCAAATATATAGAGAGTTCCTTTGCTTCATTTCAAGAAATGCTTTGTTCTTTATAGAGCCAGAGATGCACCAAGTCTGAATTGTGGTGAGGGACTGGTTGGCAAGGGGAAGCATTCCCAATTTCTTTGCTAGGGACAGCTCTGAGCCAGGAGGCTGGATGGATTTCCTCTGACTCCCAGGAATTGGTAGGCTGAGCTTAACTGAAAACTGTTTGCAATGGACTTGAGTTCAAACACAGTAAATTTGTTCCAGCTGCCTTTTAACAGCCAGAGTACAAAACTGCATTGCATCTAGGGCTGAAACAAAAGCCTCTGAATACTTATTTTTTTGACCCAGTGTTGCTTTCATGTGTCAAGGAGGTTTTTTGTTTGGTTTTGGGGGGATTTTTTTGTTTGTTTGGGGGTTTTTTTTGCATGAAGCCTCCCAGCTGATCTCAAAGGGAGGTTGCCAAGAAGCAGGGATTAGGTCTTCACAAACAATATACACACCTTTCAGACCACATCAAAAGTATCCAGATTCTGTGACCCCTCCCCCAGATTTGACTATTATGTCAAATAGTCCCTGCTCACAACTGCCTGAGTTGCCAGAAATCCTGTAGGTCCACAAGGCTTGCTGCTGCCCCAGGAGCCATCAGGATCCAGCCCAACCCCTGAGAACCCCTGCTGCTCACCTCATAGCTGTGGGCTGATCCAACAAAAACCTTCCCGATGTCCAGCTGGTCAAAGCTGAAGCGGAGCCGGGGCCCTATGCCTTCCCCTTTGACACGCAGGGGCAGCCTGGTCTCTCGGCCTGGGGAGAGATTCCATTTCAGTACAATAATTCCCTCTGTTGCTCTGGGTTTTCCAGGCTGCCTCAATGCTAATTCCTGACTTCAGGCTGGATGGGACCAGCTCTAGATGCTCCAGAAGATATGGTACCCTTCTATTCCCTCCTGCTAACAGTGATACGCACATCCAAGTGCTGCCTAGAGCCCGCAGAGCATCTCAGCCTGCACTCAACATACAGCTCCATACCTGGGTGCTCCAGGGCTCACCTCCTGCAGCAGCGCCTAAATAACACAGGGCTTTATGATCTCCAGAGAGGAGAAGCACTCATCTATTCCCACCATGATACCAAGAGCTCAGCTTTGTAAAGACACCTTACCTGAAGCATGCTGAGCAGTTAGGGAAAGCCAGCCTCCTCACTACTCAGAGCAGTATATTTATGGCTTATCTGATAATACACACATCCCTTGCCACAAAGGTAACTGAGACCACAAGGCTTATAGCTAAAATCTAAGATGCGAATTTTCTTCCATAAGTCTGCTAAGACAACTTAGTGCAGGATCTTTCAGTCTAAAGGCTGTTCTGACCCGCTGGAGCAGGCCAAAGTACATGAATCCTAGCTCAGATTTCGGCTTGGGTCTCCCTGCCATTCCATTCTACTCTGCATGGAAAGCAAGTAGGGCAAGGAGGAAAAGAGAGCCCCAAAAGTTGTATATAACCTTCACGGTAGCTTTCGTGCAAAAATATTCCTCTTTCCTTCAAGCTCCTTTTGTGCAATGGTCACCTTATTAAAGATTAGGGATTGAAGGTTGCTTTTAAAAAAAGTCTTCTGCATAGTTACTCCAGAATGTCCAAAAAGACTTTTTATTGCAAAGAGCAGCCCAGGTGCAACAACACAGTGACTAGATCACAACTTGAAAAAACTCTTCTGGAACAGCTTTTTCAATGATTACTGACTTTTGGATCTTGCAACCATGGGATGAGGATGTTTGATAATGCCCAAAGCCAGAAAAGAAGAGCTAGGGAGCTTCTGTTGAATTCAACATTTTTTAAGTGGATCCAGCTTTTGCCCAGCTGATAGCAGAGATGAGAGTTACGTTTCACAGCTTGGGCATTCACTGGCAGGCTGTGTATTTCTATTTCATAGATATTGTAAGAGAGGCAGCATTGGGTGCTCACTGTCAAAAGATTTCTCCATCTTGCATCACATGTGCCTTAATTTTCATTAAAAACTCTAGGTCTAAAGCCATCAAAGCTCTTAGGAAATGGCAAAGATTTCCAAGTGACAAGCTTTTGCCCATGATCATGCTCAGACATGTCCCATGGACACTGTGATAGAAAAATCAGTGGCAGTTCTTCCCCTTCTGCTGTAGGTCCTCACACTCTCCTGAAGGTCCATGGAAACCATCCTTTCTTCTACCTCTACATTAAACTTGAAACTTCAGGAAATCCCAGAAATTTTGCTCTTCCTCCTTCCAGGTGAACCTCAGAGTGGGTTCTTCCCAAAGGAGGAGCAGACTAAACTACAGGCAGCATTCGGGAGACCTGAGAGGGAAAGAAAGAGAGTATGTCCTCCTCTTTGCTAGGAGCTGGGGCTTTCAGGAGCATCCAGCCTTTGGCCAAGGCCTTGGTACAGCTGGGCTACGGCCCTGTGATGCTACCACCATAACATGTCCCAGGGCACGCAGACCAAGGGCATGGAGGGGCTACAGCCTCCTTGTCCTCAGTCCCAAATCCATACCTGGTACTGTGGAGCAAGAATTTGGATCTCAGTAGGAATAATACCTTGGCACATCATGCAGAGTGTATAATTTGGCATTGCTGCTTTGCTTTCAAATAAATGGGGGTGTAGGTGGTCCAACAGCCCAGGACTTTGTTGCCGAAGTCCTTAACTTCTGCTTTTTTCTGACACTCAGTTTCTTGTTCACAGAATTTCCCCATATTTTGTGACTGTTTTTGAATGTGATTCTCATCTGACCATGCCAATAAACAGTTTTATTTGATGCAGGACAGTTCTGTCACAAGGTAAGGGAGTGATCATCATTTGGGATTTTGCTTCTCCCTGCAAGAATGGCTTAGGAAGGGGTTTTGCCCCTTTGGGAAAGGTGGAACTCAATACAGTTCTGTGTGCAGACAAACCTAAAAATGAATTTTAGGTGTCTGAGCCCCCCACCGTGTGCTCCCTTCCAGCACTCAAGAGCCACAGCTTTATTTGCATGAATAACTAAGAAAGTTCATTTTGAGCTTAAATATTTGCCAAGAGCAAATTTCAAACCACTTCTTAACTGCCAGCTTTGCAAGTTGCCCAGTGCTGATTAGTTCTGTAAATCACCTGATCCAGAAGCTTCTGCTAAGCAATTTCTGGAGGCACTTGCAAAAAACAGTGGAAGCCAGCAAAGCCCCTTTCCAGGGGGCATGAGATCCAGCTGCACAATTCACAGTGCTGCACTGGGGCAAAGCATCCAAATATTCCCAGCAAGGGGCAGGCTCGCCATCTGCACGTCACACTCCAAAGGGATTTGTGACTGGCATGCAAATACACAAGGAAGTCAGTCACACTTCTTAAAGGAACCAAGAAGCAAAATTAATTGACTCCGTAATTAAAGATCATCATTTTCTCCTTTAAACTCTTTTTGCACCCAGGGACCTTGACTGTGGGACAGTTTCCATCCTGACAATACAGTGGATCAGCTCTATTTTGTAAGGGATGGGGGGGTAGGTGCATCATTTAAATGACCTCCTATAGGTCCTCCTCCAAGGAGCCAGTGGAACAGTTAAGCTCTCCTTAAGGCCCATCAGGGTCTTTCAAGAGCAGACTCCTCTTTCTAAATACATAGCATTTGTCCAGCTGTTTCCTATAACTCCCACACCAGCTCAAGGGTAGCATGCAAGTAGTTTTTCCTATTGCTCTGCAACGAAAAAGCTCTCCTGGCACAACCCCTGGAGATTCCTGCAGCAAAGTGATGGACGCTCCCATCACTAGAGCAAGAATGCCAGAGCCAGGAGCACAGTACTGAGTGAGGAATCCCTTGGGAGCAACTTTTTAAATCAATCCTTTCCTTCCACAGCTCTAACAACTGCAGCTGGTGGGCAGGAAGACCGTTTGTTAACACAAGCCCTGTGTAATTACTGTAGATGGCATTTGCCAAGTAAACCCTGTGCAATTACTGTATAAATAAAAAGCTGTTTCATGACATTTGTATCTGTCAGCTCGGAGCAGTAAAGAAAGCAACAAAGCAGCTGGATTAGTGATTTCAGCACCCTCCAGAATGGGAGCCTGGTTGCTGGAGGACCACGGGTCTTGCACCTCTCTTCCTCTTAGATAGGGAAAACCATAATGTTCCCTGGGTGGAAATCTGACAACTATCTCCCACTCTTGAAAAACACCTTAAGCAGCACCATGCAGGGACACAGAGGAAGGACAAGGTAACCTGAACCTTGCAGCTTGCTGCAAGCATTCCCTGCTCCATGCTAGCACAGCAAAGTGATCACCTCTGTAAGGGCAAAGATGGTATAACTTGGGTGGGTCAACGATAACTGCTCGCAGAAAAAGACTTGACAGCACTTCTGTAAGACAGGATGAGCATAAAGCTTGTCTAGCAGGCTGCTTGGACTCTGATTTCCAGGGAGGGTGTTCACCCTGCTGAGTACAGCAGGCCCTGTGCAATGCTACCCATATGTACCACAGACTAGCAGCCCCAAGGTGACAATTTCCACGCAGGGAGAAAAGCACATGCTGGCTATAGGTGGTCCTTTTGCAGACACACCACGCTCAGCAGGGCTCAGCCACCTAAGGTCTGGCAGCGTCTGGGCAGCGGGAGGTGATTCAGGGTCTGGGAGCACATTTGGAACCCAGCTCGTACCACCTCAGGAGTCTGATGATGCAACCATGTAACAGACTCATCTTAGAGGTAAATGGTCTATAGGGGCTTACGTGCTCATCCACTAAAGCTGTTCTGCTGTGTAGCTCTTTGGCCTTTACAGACACCTCACAGCAGAGCAAATGGTGGCAAACCCATGGCATGAAAACTTATCCCTTCACTGCCTTGGTTGTTCTGGGATCAGTGATCCAAGCTTGTAGCCAGGCATCCTGAGGGCTGGCCTTGGACAGGAGACCACCTGGAAACCACAGGGACAGTGGGCATGTGCCAGCACCGTCCTGCTGGTCACTGACCCTTACTAGCAATTACACGAGAACTAAGTGGGCTGGTTCTATTTGTGCCTCACCTTCACTGTGCGTAACAGAAGCAGGAGAAAGGAGCTGTACCTGAGATGTTGCAGTAGACCGTTTGTTGATAGACTCTGGCTTCTCGGGGTTTAAAGATCACATTAATTTCAGCTGAAGAATTTGGCCAGATATCTCCCTCCTAAAACAGAAGCAGACAGCAAGCCATTTATCTTCAAACGTTACATTTCTTGTTTTCAACCACAGCTCTGTAGCCTATATTTAGAGCATCAGTGAAGAGCAAGGAGCAAGTAACACTCATCAACAAAATTTATAAGAGTTTGGAAGCAGCTGCAAAAAAACTTTAAGTCCCGCACATTTACTGGCATCTGGTAGAGGCATTTTGTTAAATTAGGGCTATAACAAAGCAACCAAATTAGGACTATAACGAAGCAACCAAACTGGCTCACACTCCAGCAAATCAAGCAGGATTTCTTCAGAGGTACCAGCCGGTCTAAGGAAAAGGTATCTCCCTCCTGCAAACCTTTCCATATTTCCCTGTATCACTATGGCTACGTGAACACTTCTGCTCAGATCAGAAAAGATTTAGAAAATGAAATGGATTTTTCCATTCTTAGTTATGAAGGTGCTGCCTCTTACACCCTTCACCTGTACTTGTATTTAAGTGTATAATGTACTCCGGTGAGTTGGGGCACTCAGCACCTAGCAGAACAAGCCCTCCTGCCTGGGGATCAATGAAGAACGGACTCCTTGTTGATAGCTGCTTCTGCCCCGTGCCGTGAGCAGTCAGCCAGCACGTAGGTTACAAAAGATCTGAGAAAGAAGTTGAGAGCTGGATGTGTCCTGTTTATCTCTGCAAGGTGCATACAACTCCTGTTTCCCTGAACACAAGCTCAAACAAGAAAAGATGGGATTTGCTTACAGCTCCACACCTCTTCCAACCAAAAATCAAGTAAAATATCTCTTTTCTGTGTCATGCTCAGTGATTTAAGTCTGGACCATGCTACCACTGCTTCTGCAACTGTCTCCTGCTTCCTTAGGGTCTTCTCTCTCTGCTTCTCTCCCGAAGAGTCCTGACACTGGCGCTCAGTCCCAGGGAGCCCTGTCGCTCATTTTTGGAGGCATCCCAGGTTTGCAAAGGCTCTCATTCACTTCTTGCAACTGGTTTAAACAAAGGCGCCACTTTCATCCCCTCAAACCCTACCATTACAAAAGCTTCTTTGTGCATTTGTTGACTTAAATATATGCACGTCTGACAACTGTAATAATACTCTACAAGGAATGAAAAATTTAGCTTATAGAAGGAGACAAAAAGAACAGAGTTATCAACAAAGTGAGACTTTGATTCTGCTTGCTGCTGGGTATCCTCAGTACTTTGTCCAGAAGAGTCTTGAACTGACTGGAGCCTCCGGCACTCCTACAGCATAAATATTAAATAACTATAATACTTCCCATCAACTTAGCACTTACAGCTCAAAGAACAGTCCCCACAAAAATTAAAGAGCTATGACATGGTGAGTTATTGGGCTGCAGCTGCAAGTAATTCCCTAATGCACAGTCTGCTCAGAGTCAGCAGAACAGAGGGAAGAACAGGCGGAGAAAACTGTTTGAACACCAACAAACCATCACCACCACAACTATAAGAAAAGGGAAGTCTGAAAGCATAAAGTCACTTGGATTCCTCTCAAAACCTAGAGCAAACACATTTGCCAGATGAAATGTACTGCGCGTTTTTACCCAGCAAGCAACTGGATGAAGATGAAGCCTTATTATATGACAACACACTTGCTTGAAGAAGCAAACTGGGGACATCAGCCTGCAACCAACAGTCAGCGTGCTAGATATCAGAGCCTTTGGGTCCCACAGGGATGCTGCATGGACTGAGCATGCAGACAGTTATCTTGGATTTGCAGGAATAAAAGCATTCGGGGTGCTCTGAACAACACAAGCTCTGCTACGATGCCTGGAGTTTGTCTAAGCCAAGCCACTGAGAAAAAACACTCAGATGATAGATTTCCCTGCCTTGGCTAATTAGAGTCTAATAATTCACCAGTGTTCATCACCCAGCTGTTCGCTGTGTGTTTAACAGACTGAATTCAGTGGTCTCACCCTGGGCAGACTGTCCCTGGGGAGGGGGGATGCACTAGGCAGCTGCTTGCATTTGCTTCAAGCCTAACAGCTGTAGCTGAACACACACCTCAGTTCACTGGTGTTGTGTGCTTCTCCTTAAAGAGTGCTGCATGGGATGAGCTGTCCAGCGGTACTGTTTGATCCTCCAGCTGCTGTGATCCTCTGCCCAGAGAGCTGCAGAGACCCCTTGTTCAGTTCCCACATGGCAAACAGTGCCTTGCCAGCACTATCGGCTACACAAACGCTCACTGCTGCTATGCTGAGAGCAGTGGTGATGCTTGAGGTCTTCATCTTATACAGGGGCATAAAGGAAGGGTAGCATATCCTGAGCCTTAAAATCAAAACACAGTGGTGCAGTAAAAGGGAGGGGAGTTCAGCAACGAGTGGGAGTGAAAAGAGCCGAACTTCAGAACGGCCACCCAGATCACTCCAAGGGAAAGTCTCCATTTGCTCTGTAGAGCCCCATGTGCCAGACAGCAAACCGGGGAGAAGCTACTTGAATGAGGCAGGACAGGACCAGCAAGGCTGAGGGTGAAAACTGATGCCAGTTGACTGTAGTTCTGCAGTCAGGCTTACAATTGGGCACAGGTAATCTGTGCACAGCTAGATTACCAGGGGCATGCAGCTTAGAGCTTGTGCTAGCTGTCAGACAGACAATGCCTACCATAAACCGAGCATCCGATTTGCTGGGACTCTTATTTCTTGCAGAATTTTGGGACCTATCCAAAAAAGCAGAGTGACATTTTTATACCATGTCATCATTCAGTGCAACACTGCTGCTCTAGAGTTCGTACAAACAGGAATGAGGACTCATATGACCAAATCATTCCTGGGAAACTCAGAGAGCATCCCTTCTTCCACTGAGGCCAGAAAACAAGCTGCTTTGAGCCTAATGCAGCAGTATCAGTCTTTCAGGTCAACTATCCAACAAAGTACTGTTTTGCTGCTTGCTTCTGCTGGATTGCAGGCTGATGGTACTCACCGGTCTATTTCATGTGCCACAATCTGATATATTGGCCCTGTGGACACTTTGGGGCAGTTTGGTTATTACTCAGGGGTTGCCAGAGGCAATACGTCTCCCATTAATGGAAGCAAGTGTAATACAATTCATAAGCAAAAATGAAGCTAAGCAGGAAAGGAAGAAAGTTAAAAAGAACCATTGGCCTGATGAATATGTATCTGCTAACAACAGTGCACTTTTCTAGCTGAGCGAGTTTAGCTGACTTTGGGATTCGATGAACTCCCAGGGCAGCACATCTGTGACAGAAATATAACCGACACGGTGATCTTACCCCACTGTTTGGGAGCACAGTAACAGCAATATATCATGGAGGCAGGGATAGGTACAGACCTGACAGGGCAGGGAACTTAGGAAGGTTGGTGCAGAGCCAGAAGGCTGGGGCAAGAGTGGGAGATAGTTCAGAAAGAGCATGTGCTTGATGCTCACAACAGCTCCGTCTTGCTATAAGCTGCACCCACATCAACTGTTCTGATCTGGTCACTGCCAATTGAGCTTTGGGAGAACAGGACTAGGATGGCAAACTTACCTGTTTCCCCACTAAGCTCTGGCAGCCAGACAGACTGATACTCTGCATGCCTGAGCCTGTAACGTGACTTGCACAGCAACGATCCCGACTGCAGTGGTGAATATGCACAGGGAGATGTTGTGACTACAGCAGGGAGGAGGTAACAAAGAGAACTTCACAAAAAAAAAATTTTGGTCAGTTCCACTTCCCCGTTTTACAGCATACATAAATGGAGGCACAGCAAGGTTTTCAGCCACTTGCAGAGTCCATCCAGGCTACTGCAGTACTTCCAGTGCTCCTCTCAGGTCAGCAAAAATCTTCCAGGAGCTCCACCAGCAGGGTAGCACCATTAGCCCCAGTTTCTCCAAGGAGGTCCCAACATACAGAAGGAATAAGGGCTGAATTTTCAAGGCCTGAATGCCCTCAAGCTTTCAGGAGAAACGTGGGAGTATTCACACTATATAAACTTTATATATCTAACTTGGATCATCTACAGGGAGCCTTGGGCTACAAAGTCTACATCCCCTTGAACGCAGAAGCTAAACCGCCCAGTTTCTCCACCAACCCAGGACACCTGAGTTTTGTGTCAAAGGCAGGCACTGAGGACACTCCTCCTCCCCAGAGTAACGTAAAAACCTTTGATAGCCCTCACACCACACCAGTGGTGTACTAGCCCCAGAAGTGCATGGTTACATGCTACCTCGTAGTCCAGAGAGCAGCCTCTGTACATGCCCTGGGCCCTCTGCAGACACTGAGCTCGATACCAAGAGCTGCCCCTTGAGGGAACCCCTTCTGGTCTTTGCAGCTTTGGATTAACCTGATTTGGGATAACAATGCCCACACTTATCCTTTTCTCAGGGCACACTGATTCTTGCCACGAAACTGCCTTGTGCAATATCAAGTCTGCTTCAATATCCTTTCTCTCTCTCCACCATGGGATCTGTCCCCATTCAACTCTTGTCCCCACCTAACCTCTGCCCCCAGTAGACCATACACACCTGTAATAGGCACCAGGTAGCTGGACCCTAGCAGAGCCAGCAGCAATACCCTGCCTCCCACTGGGTGCCAGGGCTTACACCCAGCAGGACATCTCAGATCAGCTCCTGGAGAGAAAACCATGCCTGCCTTCATCTTTGCAGGAAGAACTTGGAAACCAGCTCACAAACGAAGCCAAGGCTCTGTCAGACAGCTGGCTACCCCAGCCGGGACTCACTGTCCAAGGCTCCCTCTGTCCTCTGCTTACAGACAAGTGGGCACGTAAGGCAGGAGAGCAATACCAGGGCTTTGCAATCTGCTTTGGCTGTCTGCTGGTATCCACGTGGGGTAGGAGACATTGCTCATGACACAGAAACCCCTTGTTGTCCTGGTCTCATCCCATTCCTGCATCACCCTTGCTGTCGGAAGGGGAACCGGAGCTGGGTCAGTGCCTGCATGGCATTTGTCTGACACTAGAATTTGATCCTGGCCCGAGATAACCTAAACTGAACATCAAAATGGTGAACTTCCACTGCACCAGAAAAATACAGCTTCAGCAAGAACCCCGGAGAACACCACAAGTGTACATCTCCAAACAGCGAGGGAGTCAAAATATGTCCCTGCCGGCATTATTCAGAGTGGCTGAGTCCCTGGTGGGATGATTTGCTCAATACTGCTGAGATCACAGTGATTGCTGAAACATTGCTGGTATCTCTGTACACTGTAAAATTAACCAGCACAGGAGGAAGCCTAGAGCTTTGGGTCAATGTCTTTTCTTCTTTTACAACCTAAACAGATGAGGGCGCAGCACACAAACCCCCCTTCCTGGGGATGACATCTTGCCATGCTCCAGGAAACCACTCAGTGATGTACCAAGATCCTGACAAGGGACGTATCTCCCTACATCTGAGGAGCTGCTGGATCCCCAGGCAGAGGCAGATGAGACTCCTCTAAGGCACCAGAGGAAACAAACCTACGGACTAGCAATAAAACCCACCCTTTAATATGCATCAGCACAGCTCTCTGGAACAATCCTAATACAGCATTATTACTGGAGCCTTGCACTCACATCCTCACTCCCAAGAAAACCTGCACCAGCAGTTAACAGACTCAGTCTCTTGAGCTCCTGATATGAAATCACCATTCTGCAGGATGCAATGTATTTGGTCGGAAACTTTTGGCAGTACATCCAAAGACAGCTTCCCTGTATTGTCAGTGAAGCTATAAGCCAGACTGACTTCAAAAGGTGGAGGGCAAGAAGAAATAATCAGTTACGCTTTATCCTACTATCCTATGGCTAAAACAAATTCTTTAAAGAAATAACTATTCTGGGAAATTTCTCCCCTCATTATTGCTGTATGTCAGACTATAAAACTAGAAAATATTGTGAGTTATTTCTCCTGGGAAATTAAAATAGGCTGTTGAAGAGGTTCTTCATATTCCTGCTACCCCATGGGGAAAAAAGAACTGCTGGTTAAAAGGAAATGTTTCATTACCCACACTCTCAGGCTACTGCTACATGCATATGAGCCTCAGGACACCTCAGGAGCCAGTGGTCTGCCTGGGCTAACATGTTCTCTGTACGATGGCAGCTGAGTCAGAGCATGGAAAACTACCATGGATGCTAACCAGGACAGAAATAAAACTATGCAGTACTGTGAACATGATATTGCAACACTTCTGGCTTAATGTCAGCCTCAGACAGGCTGCAACTGGCAGGTGGCATAAAATACAGATGGTGGATGTATGATGATAGAGCACAAAAACTCCAGCTGTTGTACCCTGGCTTTGCTACAGTGTAAAGCAACATGATACAGGAGGGGATGGCACACCATGACTCACAGCTACAGAAGTAATCTCTGTGCAAGAGCCCAACCATAAATACATGCAGATCCTATTTTCTCTCACTCTGCCCCTAAATAATGAGAGTCTGCTACATCTCCACCAGCTTGAATAAGAAAAAGCTGGTCTTGAAAAGGTGGGCACCGCCAACTGTTGGCCAAATCCCCTACTTTGTTTTGCAGAGGGGGAAGGCGATCCACAGAAGCAAATTGCTGCTCAAAGCAGACGAAAAGCCCAAGACAGAGCTGGCACCGGAAGTACCAAAATGACACCCAAAGTGCATCCTGCTAGTTCAGGGCACTTAGAAGAAAGCCAGTGCCAAAGCTAACATCCCCTTCTTTCCATAAATAACTGAACCCACAGCAAGCTATGGGACAGACCATAGCTCCCACTGGAGTTGGTGCCTTCTGCCAAAAACTTAAGTGCTCTGCAGTAACCTCTCATTTGGAGGGGGACCAGTTTGGTTCCTCAGCTGAGGTGGAGATTTGCAGGAACAAACAATGCTGTTACCCTCCTGGCTTAACCTCTGGATGAACAACAGCAGTAGTTTCATAACCTGGACATCCTGAAGACCATCTCCATTGGCTCAGAGTTAACACATGGCACTGAGGAGCCACTACCAGGCAATGACAGGGCAGGGATGACTTGTCAAGGTCAGTGCAATGGTAACAAATCCTTGTCCTCCCTTTTCTCTGGTTTCCATTTCCAAGGAGTCAGCTCCCACGTGTCTGCAATGTGACTTACAGCTAAGCTGTGGTGGGGAGGATGCAGCAAAAAGCAAGGACATTGTCCTTTGGTAGCCACCTGGGCTTCTATCACAGCTGCTTCTGCTGACATATCGTGTGCATTTGCAAAAATAAATTAAACCAAATTTGAGATGTGCTCAGAAAGTCAGAGTTGCATAACAGCTTGTTTCCCACAGGCTTGGACGGCTGCTCAAAATGTTCACAGTCACATGGTCATTCCAAAATCACTGCCTCCTCTTTTCTGTTATTATTTTCAGAGAGTTAACCCTATACAGACTGAAGTGACCTGCTGCAGCTTCTACAGATAGCAACACCTGAAAAAAAACAGTAGCTAATGGCCCACTTACAGACCAAAGCTTCTGCACAAACACTGCAAAGCCATCCTGCCCAGAAAGCGTTTCCAAGACTGCTATCCCTCCATCAGCTTCCTAACCTCTGGAAGCAATTGCTTCCACCAGTCACTTGTTACAAGGGTTTGATTAATTCTATAGGGTGCTCTTGGACATCACAGATGATAGGTAGGAAGAGAGCAGCCACTTTTGGCCAGAAGGTCTGTGAGGCAGCAAGATACCAGCTTTGGGGGGCCTCTCCAGCAGATTTACATGGCAGTGCAAGAAGGGTCTCTGTCACAGCTAAAGGTTATGGGGCCATCATTGGAGAGAAGGATATGGAAGTCAGTGGCAGTGGATAGATTATACATTTCATAAAGAGAAGACACTATCATTTGAGGTAAAGACACCCATATGTCAGGGGAAGAAGACAGACATGAGCAAAACTCTGAATGTGAAACTGATTGTTCCATAAATAATGGAATTAATGGAAATCAAAAGATTGATAATGCCAGCCAAGACAGAAGGGGAGAGACTCATGTAGTAGCCCACTTATATCCAGTCCTGGAGCAAACTGTGTAACATTAACAGGGCCATTTAGGAAAGGTTTCCACTCAAGACTTGAGGCCAGGCTACACTTCATGCCTGTACATCACTACATGGAGTACCAGGACTCAGTACTGTGGGCAGCCAGACTTCTGGACTGCACCTTAATGCACTTCAGGAGCTCAAGAGTGGGTTAAGCTAGCTGTGGAGACATAGTCTGACTGTAACGATGGTGGAGCCCTGGGACACACTCCAAAATTGGCTCTAATGCACCATAGGATGCTCTTAATGCTCACATGATCAGCTCCCACTCTCCAATATTTCTACTGTTCTGAAACAATCTCTTGGTCACACCATGATGCTTGCTGGCAGCTACATTGGTGTGAAACTGCAGTTGTGCTGACATTGGCGGCTCTCAGCCTTATATGGGCTATGGGAGTAACCAAGAAGAGAACGTGATTCTCCTTCCTTGGGAAAAAAAAAAAAATTAGTTTCATCTATTCTAAAAAAAAGAAGAGGTTGGGCTTATTCTAGGGTTTACCCCAAGATGACAAGGGATTTTGCACTGCTCAGACCATGCAAATACTCAGAATCAAAGCTCTGGTTCATTGAAGGACATGGGGTTTTGCTTGCATAAACAGAAAAGCAAAAAAATTTCTGTACCTATGTGCAATACAACTCAAAAAGCCCATTTACACCTGCCAGTCTTGTGTCCAGCCTCACAGACGATACTGGAAGGAAGATTCAGATGTGGCATAAGTGCAGGTTATATGAAGGGATTGGTATTTCCATGATTAAACTTGGGCTGGATTTGGCCTCCTTTCCACAGAGGACCATTTCATTCTTCCGGTCAATATGTGAACTGACAGTGCTCTAATATCCTTTGTTAATCCCCATACAGTATGTGTAAGCTGTGCCCTTACATATAATAATCGACACCTCTGAACACTGTAAGGACACTTATTTGTAGCCCTTGCAGTAGCTTAGTTTTAGGCAGGCTCTAGGCAGGCTGCCTGTCAGGAGCCCACAGTTCAGAAATGCTTTTTGCAACAAGCTCTCCCAGCCTCACTAGAAAACCTGATGTTTTCTCTCTTTACACATCAAGCCAGCTGATGGAGGGATCTGCCAAGTGACCTCAATTCAGGAAGAAGGAAGAAGAGGAAAGGAGGTTCTTAGCTATCGCTTACCACCGGATCAATAGTGAAGATATCATCAGAGAAAAGCATGGATTCTCCTTGCACCTTTGCCCTCTGGTTCTGGAAGGTGCAGGAGAGAAGGGAAAGGCGTTCTCGGAGTGTGGGGTCCACCATGCACTCCTTGAGAAAATAATCCATCTCATCTTCTTCCTGCCTCTGCAGCCTGCGACACAGCCTGCAGCCACGGGGAGAGACAAACCAAGCAGATAATTTAATAAGCAACATATTTGCAGAGACTGTTGTGTAAGTGCAGGGGCAGCAGCACGCTCGGGGAGGAACAGCAGCAGCAGCTGCTCAGCAAGGGGCCGACCCTGAGCCATGGGGTCCCAAATGGATCAGATTACCACTTGTTCGCTGGCATGGCAGGTAGTTTTACTCCATGCTTATAAGCTAAGAAGAGGGTTTTTCAAAGCTAGCAGCCCTCAAGAGAGCAACAACTGATGGAGA